AACTACAAAATGGGTATTGAGAAAATGAAGGAAGAATCTTTAGGTCTTACGAAAATGCAAAAACTGTCTGTTAAAACTGGGAGGTCACTTTAATAACTCAGCAGTACTTCACTGTTTGATGTCATTAGCTGAAAGCACTGAAAATGTTTTGATTAAAGTACTTGTCTGGGGAATGAAGCATCTTGTCTTTTAGGCTATATATATGAAAGGTGAAACTTTGAAAGTGTCAAAACTAATTATTTATAATGTTCTACTCCCCTAAACAATTTTTAGATTCACACCTTGGGGAAAATTCTTAGATCTGATAACTTTTATTGGAATTTTTTATTTAGTTATAGAAACATTTCAATAAGGACCTCTGAATTTCTCATTTCCAAGCAATCTATCAGTGTATGTTGTCATTTGACTTCCACAGACTACAAGAAAAAGCTGCTGACACTATTGAAGCACTCCAGAAAGCTGGAATTAAAGTTTGGGTTCTGACGGGAGACAAAATGGAGACTGCTGCAGCTACTTGCTATGCTTGCAAACTGTTCCGAAGAAATACACAAATACTTGAGCTAACCACAAAGAAAATTGAGGAACAGAGTTTACATGATGTGCTTTTTGACCTAAGCAAAACTGTCCTAAGACACAATGGCAGCTTAACCAGGGATACTTTCTCAGGGTAAGGAAAAGGTTGAATTTTTAAGCCAGGAATGGGCTTCTGTGCATTCCATAGACAATTAAATTTTTTTGGTAATTAAATCAATTACCTTAAGAGCAGCAACATACTATGTTTCAGTTTCTGTTGTTAGTGTGACTTATTGTATGGTAATTAAGTACAAATTTGTTCCATGTAAGTTTAAATTTTCAGTCATGGTTCTTTATCTCATTACTGGTACTGCTGTAACTGTTACAAGAAAAATCACAACTGACATTTTAATTATATATTTTTCCACTACAAAAATATTCTTGGCAAAAATGATAGTAAAGCAAATACTGTTTCTAACTTCTAAAAGGAAGCAGATATGATTTATTGCTGTAATCAGAGTTAGTATGTGGTGTGACTTTCTTGATAAGACCAAGGCCGTAGGGAGCAACAATATTTGGCCCTACTGAGCTATTTCTAGGGAAGATTATGCTACATTTGCAGACAGGTAACAGGCAACAGCATAGTACCAAATCTTCTGGTGTGCATAAAAATACTTAGTGCCCTAAACTATAAAGAAACCAGTAACTTCTGTGGATTTTGAATATCTAGAGAAGGATAGGTATCATGTATACAGAAGTGATTTCCTTGAAACATAACATGGAAGAAGATAAAAAATGGCATTAAAAAGCAAAAAAAAAAGGTATAATGTAACTACAGGTAGTGAATTAGGCTACTTATTTGAGGCATAGTGTTTGGAACGCATTAATTGCTCTTTTTTTTCCCCACTGTAAAAACCTAAGAATTAGGTTCTAAAACTTTTTTATCATCTTAAGATATTGTTAAGAAAATAAGTTGTCTTCCAGACATAATGGTGTGTATTTGCCTTGTTTTTCTTTTTAATATGGAACCAGCTAGCAAGTCCATTTTATATGCATTTGCAATAAGTTTTTAGTAAAGGAACAACAAGCTAACAATCATTTGTGATATTTTAGCAAAGTTTCTAAAACTCTTAGCTTTACAGCTTGAAACTCTGAGCCTGAGCATTTTTCTTAGCTCTTCTTAAACTTTAAACCCTATTGGTCTAATCGAGAAAATTTGTATATTCAGTTAAATAAATTGTATTTCCCTATATCAGCTATACCTCATTTAGCTTAAATACCACAGTTTTTACAACATATGTCTAAATATGTTTGTTTAACTTTTTATGCAATGCCAATTTTCTAGACATTAAGACTCATCAGAATTTTTTGTCTTTGGCTCCAGATTTGGAGAATGTGCTAAGATAGTAATAGCAGGATTCTGCCTGGATGTTGAAAGTCAGGCTGACAGTCTTTCACTGTAATACATTAAATATGCAGTACATTCCCTGAACTTCATAATAGTACATTTTTGGTTGTTATCATTGTATAGTAATGGCATTGCCCTATTTGTGCCAATAGTAACAAGGTACTGAAAATATCTGTGAACTGTTATTAAGTATAGTTTACAGTACTTTATATTATTTGTCAAAAATAGCTTGTGTTCTAGTAGTGAAGATGGAGAAGCATAGAATACACTTGTTAATAAATGTGGTGTTTTCCTCGCAAACATTGGTCCTGGTGAAACTACGTTTGTTGAAAAACCATGCACAGTAGTACAGCCTTGGAGCACTGAAACCAGAGCACAAATAAACCTCAGTGTATGTTTAGACAACACTCACTGCTGAGCTGGAGCCTGAGGCTGCTGTGTAATGCAGGCAAATCAAGGTTGCTCTGAAATAACTGGTTTGGATGCTGCAGAAAACTGTTCTTGTAGTGTGGCACGCAGTGTGGACCATCTTCCCCCATTGTTCAGCATATGTTATGGTGGTAAACTGTGCTTCATGTGACCATGGTTACACTTCTAACAATGTCCGAATTATTACAGGTATACCAGTAATAGATTAATATATATAACAATATATTGTAGTGTTACAGATTACATATATAATAATTATGTTATAATATTATAATTAGAGATATACCTGTACTGGACTTAGCCACTACACTAAACACAAAGTAGACATACTGTAAATGTAAGCAGTGGCTTTATTTCTCCAGGCCAACAAGTCTCTTTTAGGTGTTTCCTTCAGAGTGTGGTTCACTTCCTTAAACGTAGACCCTTGAAAAACAAGGCTATTTTCTTCATGAAAGTAGATTTCAGAGTACCAAAGGCCTTTCCCTTTAACTTTTTTCTCTACATTATGGAATGTGCCACAAAATTAACCTTCTTCCTGCAACTCAGTTTACCTCACTGCAGTTCTTGGAGCCCTTTCAAACCAAACTGAAAGGTCATTAATTATACACTCATATTCACTGGTGAAGTCACTGAGGTATCAGATTTCTGTCTTCAAACTGGTGAAGCACTTAGTGTTTTCAACATAAGCTAGAATTTTAAAATGTCATAAATAGCAGTCCTACACAAGGAATTTCCTTTAGAAGTATATTAATTTTGCAGTATTCCATACTCATTATTTTTTCATTAATTAATTTTCACAAAAGAACTATTGCCAAATTTAGAATATGTCTGAGAATTTTACAGTGACTCTTAGTTTATATTTTATCCCTGAACAGACTTTCAACTGATATGCAAGATTATGGTTTAATTATTGATGGAGCAGCATTATCATTAATAATGAAGCCAAGACAAGATGGGAGCTCTGGTAACTACAGAGAGCTCTTTCTTGAAATTTGCAGGAACTGCAGTGCAGTGTTATGCTGTCGAATGGCACCTCTGCAAAAAGCACAGGTTTGTATTTCATTTCATAATTGTTTGTTAGCTGTGCACATATGTAAATATTGGAAGTTAATATTCTGTATGACTTACATAATAACTTAAAATGTTGCTATTTACTTTTGTGTCTTCTAAAAAGGAAAAAGCAAAAAAAAAAAAAAGGAGGGGGGAAAATTTCTACTGGCAAGCAATTCAGAGAATGGTATGCTAAAACGGCACCCAGCTGTGCACCTGAATTTGGTTTGTGTACATATTGTGCAAATTTTATGGTTGGTACATGCTGATAAATAAATGTATTTAATGAACCGAACTAATCGCTTCCTTTTTAACCTAATAATCTTTGAATAGCCTACTATCTGGTGATACTACAAGAACCTGCATTATTTATTACTTTAGAGTGGTATTTTCTATTTTTAACATAAGTGGGAAGCCAAGAAAGAAGAATCCAGACAGAAAAATATGTGCATTATTGTTTTTAATACTTCTTGACTGTTGTGTACTAGTTTGTATCAAGTAACAACATATCCTTCCATTACTGAAACATCTCAATATAGCTGAAGAACTTCTAAAGGAAACAAACATTGGAATATACACTTTTTTTCCTTTCAAACTGTCATGTCTATTTCTTAGTGCTCAGGAACAGTATATGTAGGCCTTATTCATCTTAACAAATGTATTTAGGCAGCACTTTTAACTGTGTGGAAGTTTGTAGAAGTTTTTAGTTGTAGCTAACTCAGTACCAAATTTACAGAAGTGATAATTTATAATGGAGAGATTTGAAGTCAAATTTTTGGACAGTTTCTGTGTCAACAGTGTTTAGATATATACGGAGTCCTATTATCTTTCCTTAAACAGTAAGAAAAAATTTCAGCACAGATAAGAATCTTTCAGTGTTTAGTTTCAGAATTTCTTTGAAATGGTATGCTCTGTTTCTGGAACCCTTTTAATTTATTAATGCACTTACACAGCATTAAGAAATCTCAACAACATCTTGCTTTCTTCTGCTCTTCCTTCCTCCTGTCCATCTCTCTCAAAATAGTTTAGAAGTATTTGAAAAATGTTTTTTTTTTTTTTTTTAATATTTGGAACAAATACTTTTAATATGAAGAAACGACTGTGATCTTTATGCATAGTAGTTGCATTGGGTAATACTGGTTTTTGTGTCCCTTCAGAGAATTTCTTATGTAACCGTGTTGGTCATTTTTAATTAATTGAACACTCATGCAAAATAAGCAAAGCATTACAGAGAAGAGTTTTTAACACTTGGGGTTTTTTTTCCAGATTGTAAAATTGATCAAGTTATCAAAGGAGCATCCTATCACATTAGCAATTGGTGATGGAGCAAATGATGTCAGTATGATTCTAGAAGCACATGTTGGTATAGGTAAGTGCGCTTTTTAGAATATTAGTTCAAGTGAAATGACAAAAAACACGTCTTAAAAGCAGGCGGTCTCAAAGAATCAGGTTATACATTTTATAGACAACTTTTAGTGAATTTACCCCAGGAATTTTGAGATACAGTGATGATCACTTATTAGATCAATGTCATATCATTATTATATAATTTTTCAAGTAATTGTATCTTTGAAAAAGCTCTTCAGTTAATTAAACAGCTTCATCACTTTTTTTTAAAGGAATCATTGGCAAAGAAGGTCGTCAAGCAGCGAGAAACAGTGACTATGCAATACCTAAATTTAAACATTTGAAAAAAATGTTGCTTGTTCATGGGCATTTTTATTATGTTAGGATATCTGAACTTGTGCAATACTTCTTTTATAAGGTAGGAGAATGCTTATTCTAATTACATAAATCTCAAAAACTTCCATGGTAATATCTAACTATATACAGTTTGTGCAGTCAATAGTACAAAAAGCAAGAATTCCATAAAGAGATTTTGAGTGCCAGACGCAAACCTGAAATGGGATTATTGGTTTTATCCAGACCATCAAGTGAAATAGCTTTTATATAGATATATTCTGTAAACTATGGTATGTTTAAAAGCAAAATTTGCCTTGTCTTTTGTTTTCCCGTCTTACATATTCCAGCATAGACTGTTCTACTTACTTTCTACTTACTTCTGGTTCTCTCTAGAGTGGATCAAGTTGGAAATAGTATTTGAGAACTTAGCATAATGTATTTTACATTAGTTCCTAAATTCATTAGGATAGCGTAGGTGGTGAAAGTTTGTAATGTGCGTCCCCCTGTTTAGACAGTTTTGTTTTGTCTAAATGCTGGGATCCAGTCAAAGTCCTTTCAGTAAGCAATAGAAGATCATAGGAAGGAACCTTCAGAAGATAATTCAAGGTCTTAGTGTTTGACTATATGTATCCTTAGGAGAGGATGAAGTTTGGGTCATAGCTGGAAACATCTTAAAATTACTTTGCTGGGAACCATGCTAACCAGAGTATCCCTGCTTGCTTACCACAGTTTGTGTCCTACTTTGGATTGTACCTTATTTCCCTTGCCTTAACTGAGCTGTGCTCCTGGATTGCAAAATTCATTGCCCTTGAATTTTGAAACTGTAGCCTTTAAGTTTGCTTTCAAAATATTTTAAGTATTTTTCTTAACAGTACTACTGTAAGATGGAATGTTGATGTTTAATGTATGCAGCTCTTTCTACTGATCCTGCAGTGTTTATATTATTAGTGTTATAAAACGACGATATGCATAGCTATAGCATTGTACGGCATATAAATCAGTGCTTATATTTCATTTGATGACTGTGTCACTCTGTCTTTCAGAATGTCTGCTTCATTTTTCCTCAGTTTTTATATCAGTTCTTCTGCGGGTTTTCACAACAGGTTAGTTGTTCTTTTTCCCTCACTGCCATATTTTCTTCAGCATTTTTTTTTTTAAATGGATCCTTTAACACTGTGCCTGTTCAGCTGAGAAAATTTCTAGGTTAGTTTAGACATTGTAAAAAGAGCAGCATCATTTTGGTTCATATGGTTTTCAGTGGCAATTGCAGTTGAGTTACAGAAATCAATTTTGAATTATCATAAAAGCAATGTTTATTTTCAAAGTCAAAGAACACAGAAACAAAAATTTGGAAATGTCAATGCAAAGTGAAATGTCTGTTAGGTTTCAGCTTATTGAACATGGACAGAGATAATCATGAAAGATAAGTGATTGAACTAGTTGTTCATTTTTAGCATTCAGAATGAAAATGGAAGAACTAGTTTTCTCGGGGTGTGCAGGTATAAATTGCAAACTTCAGACAAATAGCGGCATTCAATTTGTTGAAAAGGAAAAATAAACATGGAAAGATAGAGCAAAAGTGAACTGCTGCTCACCAGAAAAGTGCCGTCATTCATGAGAGGATCCAGTATTCTCCTTTCTAAATTTTTGTTTATTTGCTTTTCCCCTTTGCTCTTGTCTAATTTGTGCAGGAAAATCTACCTCTTCTTTCTTCTAAATGAGGGAGCAAAAAACAAAGGAATGAATGACTGGACTTAGACAAAGAGAGGATTAAGTTTTCAGGATTAAATTGGACAAGAGGAGGATTTAATTGGGAGAAAATAGTACTGTTGCTTTGAATTTATGGAATGTCTCAAAAGAACGCTTCAGGAGGAGTAAAAATGATAGAACTATTTTTTTGGTCTGTTTTGGTTTTCATTTCAAATGACCATTGAAAACTTTGTAGGTTTTTGTCAAACATTATTAGGATTTATATATGAAAGCATGTCTTGATGAAAATTTAGTTGTAAAATTTCCTGTTCTTTTAAGTGCTAAATATAGTTCTAAAACAAAAATGGGGTTTTGACAACAATTTTTACGGCATAAATGATCACCAAATAGGTTTTGGGAAATAAACAACTTTTTTTAATGGGGTGATGTGGTAAGTTTGAGTGCTGGTTACAATGATGATACATACGTGGAAAAGTAGTTCAGAGGGAAGAAGAATCAAAGGCATGTTGGGGTGTTTCTTTGTACAGCGCATTGCAGTCACCCACAGCTGAAGAACCTCTGGAGTACTCCCCCTTCCTCCCTGTATGTCTCCGTGTTAGAGACATGGAGGAGATAAAAGTGGGGGTGGAGGTGCCAGAGAGGAATTTCTGCCTCAGCAAGAATCTACTGTTGTTCAGTTTGGGTAGTTTGGAGTTGGTCTTACAGTTGAAACAATAGGAGGGACCGATACATGGACCAGAGTATTAAATCAATCTTTCAGTTGACCTTTTATCCTCTAGATGAATGGGGTACAAGTGCAGAGTGGTGTCTTATATCAATTAGCAGCTGTGCAGGGATATTTGCCTCAACTGTGAAGGGATATAGTTTTTTTTTTTTTTCTAAAGAAGTTGACTCATTCATTTTAAATCAAGTGTCATGCAGTGGATCATTTTTAAAATTAAAACTAGCTGATTTAATTCTTTTCCACCTACAGACTTTATATGATACTGCGTATCTAACACTGTACAATATCAGCTTCACTTCCCTTCCTATCCTCTTGTACGGTCTACTGGAACAGCATGTCAGTGCAGACACACTCAAGAGAGAGCCTTCCCTATACAGGTAAAATTAATAAATTATGCCCCACAGTTTGGCTGTTCAGTTGTGGAATCTATCTCCATTATAATCAAAGTCCTCAGGATTTCTGTATGAGGTTGCAGTAGAACATCAGACGCTGCAACAGAAGGGTTGAAGACCAGAGGCGCAGTCTATAAACTACAATAGATACACATGTATTTTTACATGTATATTTACATACTGCAATCCACACCATTCATTTGCTATGTTAGTGAGAGCAAAAGAAATTACTGTTCTACAAATTGAAATATGATTTATTTTAGTACTCTCTATTTCCTCCAGCTGTGGGGAACAGAAGTATTTTAAAAAGAGAAAATGTACTGTTTCTTCTATATACATGTTTTATTCTGAAAGAAAAGAGGACTGAGTGGTAGAGTGTTGTATCATAGCATGTATTCTGTGTGGTGTCCAACATTGTCCTCTGTACATTGTTGACTCACTTCTGTGCATTGAAATCATGACTGGTTTAGATTCTTAGCCACTTGAAATACAGTTCTTGCTAATTAACTGCATGTGGCCATCTAAATTAGGAACAGTGCACAGTTTTCATTCTTGTAGCTGCAAAACCAGTACATTTTAGAGAGTGGTAACAGTAGATAATCAAAGGGAAAACATTTTTTGAGAGGTAGTATTAGATGCCCAAAGGTTAATCAATGCAGTGATGTGTGTTTACCTATGAAATTGAAGAGGAATACAAGATATTCTGTGGAAACCCAATGCCCCCATTTTTATTTTCTCTTCTATATTTTAAATGTTTTCAGTTTTAGAAATGGCCATTCAGAAGACCTTCTTGGGTTTTGAGAGCTAGCAGAGGTTATCTGGTCAAAACCAAAATGGTTTTGATATCTAACAGAGTCTATCACTAAGCTGTTTTGGGCAATAGTGGAGTCATTCTGGGTCAGATGAGGCTACTCTTAGCCCTATATGGTATTGCACTGTATATTGGTAATCTGTGGGGAGAAATGACTTAAACTGTCTGATGACCATATGAAAGTGCATATGGTGAAAGTATTGGTTGGTAGTAAATGTTTCTGTAATTCAGGGTTTTCATTTAACTGTGTTCTGATTTACTCTGATGTCTTTTATGATATGTGCCAAGTTGAGGGCAAGAACTAAAGTTGTAATATGTAGCTTTTCTGTAGTAAGAAAGTGCATGCTAGTGAACAGTTCCATTGTTGACTAATCCCTGTATTTTTTGCGGGAAAACATTCAAGAAATCCAATTTGACCTCAAGCTGCAACTTGACTGCAAAATCCTTGTTTCGCATGTTCCGCATAACATTAATATTTTGTTTTGTTACAATATTCTGTATAAAAGTACCCCATGGGAAATAAAGCAAAGTCTCCAGAGACCTCTAGTGTTTCCCTTTAAAATCTACAGTGGATCATCACATGCACAGCAAATACTGGAAAACAGATATCTTCTTGTCCTGGTTTCGGCTGGGATAGAGTTAATTTTCTTCCTAGTAGCAGGCACAGTGCTATGTTTTGGATTTAGTATGAGAAGAATGTTGATAACACACTGATGGTTTAGTTGTTGCTAAGTACTGCTTATGCTAGTCAAGCACTTTTCAGCTTCCCATGCTCTGCCAGGTGCACAAGAAGCTGGGAGGGGGGCACAGCCAGAATAGTTGATCCAAACTGACCAAAGGGCTATTCCATACCATATGACGTCATGCTCAGTATAGAAACTGGGGGGGGTTGGCCAGGGAGCAGTGATCGCTGCTCGGGAACTGTCTGGGTATCAGTTGGCGGGTGGTGAGCAATTGCATCGTGCATCACTTGCTTTGTATATTATTATTACTGTTATTATTATATTGTTATTATTACTACTACTATTTTACTTTATTTCAATTATTAAACTGTTCTTATCTCAACCCAGGAGTGTTTCTCACTCTTACTCCTCTGATTCTCTCCACCATTCCATTGGGGTAGGGGGAGTGAGCGAGTGGCTGCGTGGTGCTTAGTTGCTGGGTGGGGGGTAACCACGACACTTCTGTAGAAAGATTGAAAAGTAAAAGGGTGCAGCACAGCAAAATTTACCATACAGTTGGAATAAGCAGAATTACAGGTAGCAGTTAAATGGGTTTAGTAAAAATTAAATAAAAAAAATAAAGAGGAGATGTTCAGGAAAGATGCGGTTGTGAAGTGGTAGACAGTTCTCATGTGGAAATGTGGTGGCTTTGCATGCCATCTCTTAATTGTTCTTCCTTCAAAAACAATATGAGTGACATCATTTGTCTAAGCTTTTTGAACATGCTGATAATGAATGCATATATCTTGTTTTATACAGAGATGTTGCCAAGAATGCTTTGCTGCGCTGGCGTGCATTTATCTATTGGACATTCCTAGGAGTGTTTGATGCTGTGGTATTTTTCTTTGGTGCCTATTTCTTGTTTGACAACACAATTGTGACCAGCAATGGACAGGTTAGTGTTGGATTTGATCAGTCAATCAAAGGTAATTTTTTTTTAATGTCAAATGTGCTATGAACGTAGTTTTAATTGTTTTCTTCAAGATTTCCAGCACAGATGATAACTGTTTTATGAGTTACGATGAGATAGATGGATTATCTGTTTAGCAAAGTCTGAACTATGTAATAGGAATTCCATGTATCAGTAAGCAGAGGCATAGGACTAGATACAACTTAGGAGAAATATAGTTTGTAAATTCCAAGTATTCCTTCAGAATTTACATAGTAACCTTTCTGTTTTGTGCTTAACATGCGTCTGATGAATATCTGATTAACATATCAAAAGACTCCTGGTAGAGTAGTTATGAATGATCATAAAAGAGCTTAAATGTAACAAGCTTTTTAATATTTTAATTACTTTTTACATATGGCAGCTTAAAATAATCTATCTCTACTTGCTTTGCAGTCACATGAATGCAAATTTTAAGAACTTTTGCATTTTATTTATTTTACCCATTGATATTTTGGTCTATTTTATTTGTGTGCTTTTTTTCTTTTTGCTACTTGCTTCTCTTCCTATCCTCAGCTAATGACAACCAGCACTCACATGGTAAGACTATTGTGGATTTGTCATGATACCCATTTCATTTTTCACTGTTCTTTAATTAAACTGTTAAAGAGCAGTTAAGTATTTCCTATAATGATTTCAAAATATCACTTAAAGCTATAGATAAAAATGTTCTTTATTCCTTCTTTGTACGTACTTAAAATATAAAGAGCTTATGTAGAGTATAAGGTGTATTAAGGTGTATGTGGTATGGTAAAGAGCCATGAGATTTAAAAAATAAGTAGGCTTTTTGCTTCCTTGAGTTTTGTTATTTTGTTCTATGCTTTTCTGTGACCTACATTTTGTTGCTGACTGCTATAGAAAATTTATTACAGTTTCTGCCATGAAGTGCTTGAATGGCTTTGGAAAAGACCCTCAAAGTGAGAGAAAATAAACTGGGCACAGTTTTGTTGCCTATATCTAATGCACAAGTTTGCTTGAAATGCAGTATACAAATATCATTAAATACCATCTTTGTGATATCTGTCAGGGAAATGAACTTCTAGTGTGTGAGAGAACACTTGTTAGAAAGAGCTTTTCTAAGGACAGAATGAATTTCCATTAGACATAACTGTACACTGCAGCACTTCTTTTCCAGGTAGCATTATGTTCTCTGTCAGATGTTCAAAACTCTGCATCAGCTTCTATTTATAGTCCTGAAAATTAGTCTTCTCATACCTTTACACATTTTGTAAACAGTTTGTATTGCAAATATTCTGACTGGGTTCCTGTTTGAAATTTTAGTTTACTTCTGTTGCACATATTAAATCAAATTATTCTTGATAAAGCTCTAAAGCCAGACTAGTGCCTAATTTCCAAATTTTGAATACATATGTGTACAACTAGAGACCCATGTTAATATTTGATGATCAAATGTGTTTCTTGATGAGACATTCTGACTCTTGAGTGCCAGAGTGGGTTAGAAAATTCATCCTCATTCAGCATGCATGCTTGTGTGTATGTATAAAACGTACAGATTTTGAGTTGCAATTTTAGATTTAAAGGCTTGAAAATGTTAATGTTTAGGAGTAGTCAGAGATACATATGTGAGTTCTTACATATATGAATGCTAGTTGGTGTTGATGGTTATTTCCAAGTATTTAAATTATGCTCATGTCTGGAAAAAGTCAGTGAAAGATTTGAAGATTTGAAAGGTTTACTGCAACAATATGTTATTATGGAACAGGAAGAAGTAGAAAGCGGGAAAGGGGATAAAAAAGCTGAAGGTAACACTAATGCTATAAACGATATAAGATGTTTCAAGTTAGGTTCAAATTGTTAAAATGGGTGGTGAAGCAAAAATTTTGAATTATTATTTTCTTCCAGAAACGAATTAATCAATTGTTGCAAAACTAGTAAAACATGAAGAAAGTCAATGACTTTCACTTAGATTGATGCCCGTGTCAGACTAAAATTTACATACCATTAAGCTTGCTTCCAAACATAATCCCTCCAGGATGTTTCTCAGTATTTAGAAATTTGTTTGAAACTGTTTGCAAGTTGTAGAGTGATGTTACTAGAATAATGGAAAAGCATACTTTTAATCACTGAGATTTACTTAATAAATGCCTGTCTTAGTCATTTCCTGGTAAACAAAACTAAGATGCCAAAGATTTATCTCTTATTAATTGTTATTAATTTGTGATACTGCTTTGCGTATGGTGTTCCACTTTGGATATGGCATGGTTGGTGTTGTAAAAACATATAGTCAGAGACCAACTACATAAGGAAGGTAAGAAGAAAAGAAGGCACCATGGAAGTAATTGCAGATTGTAAACGTCATCTTAATTTACCCATATAATAAAATGTATTTCCTGTGTGATTTTTTTTTATTATTTTAACATTTGATGCAGTGGATTAAATATAATTGTTAAGCTGGGTTCAGAGATGGGTAGGAGAAACTAAGATAAAAGGAATAACAGAATAGGAAATACAAAACAGCAGGAGGAGAGAGAAGTGAGTGGAATGATGAATTGGAACATGGAAAAACAGTCGCAGAAGGAGGAGGGCAAGCCTTGGACAGGCTGTGAGCAGAGCATGGAAAAATATTTATTAATAAACTAGGTGTTAACAAACAGACTTACAAAAGAATGATTCACATCCTGAAGACATCAGTAGCATCTTGAGATAGTCAATGCTTAATATACATTGTGAGTTTTTGTAACTCGCACCATCCTGTATTGCTCTGCTTACCCCTCTCTGGGCCAAATTAGCAGCCTCGTGGAGTCTGCTGTCCCTAGGCTATGACCTCGTTTTCTGAGCCAAAAAGATGGGTAGGTGAAGGGTTTGGCTGCAGCCCAATGCTTTCTATCTAGCCTGACAGAGACAGGGGAAGGTTGTTTCAACTTTTTTTTATTTAATCTAGCAGCTTTTATTGGAAATATGGACACACCTGTTTAGTATGCAGAAACTTACCAGACTGACACTAGGCTTTCTGAGAGATGCCAGATAGGACATGACAGTATTGTCAAATTTAACTGCAAGAAGAAAGTCAGTAAACAGCATAATTTGAAGTTCCTGAACCAGATTCCTGTCTACTATTAACTGCACTGATTTTTTTTTTAAGGCACACAAAATATTGTAGCAATGGCATGACCCTATAAAATTGTTATATTCCATATCAAAGTAAAAAGTCAAAATGGTGAAGGTTTTCTGCACTTCATCTTGTGTTCTGTGCACTTGGTCACATGTTGAGTAATTTTAAAATAATGAAATGGTTACTCAGAATAATGACTCTTTGAACCAGTCATTTGTTTATTTTTTAAATGGTTTTCCCTTTCCAGTTGATCAGATTATCTCAGTCTAGTTTCCTACAGATTTCTGTCTCGTGGCTGGCTGTGGTCTCCATTCAGAGTTTTTCCTCTGGCAGCACATTTGTGTGATCACTTGCGCATGTGGATCCCTTGTCATCTAATATTGGGAGAGCTCACATGGAAGAATGTAGATGGGAAGGGACCCTGGAGGTCATCCAGTTCAACTCCCTGCTTTTTGCAGTTGCTCAAGGCTTTGTCTCGTCTTTTTCAAGGTTTGAAATCCCTCAGGATGGACATTCCATAACCTTCCTGGGCAACCTGTTCCAACATTTTTCTGCCTTCATGAGGAAAAGATTTCTCCTAATACCTAAGCAGAATTTTTCTTGTTGCTGAAGAGAGGTCTGTTCCAGTTCTTCATCTTTGTAATTGTTCTTCAAATATTTGTGGGCAGCTACTAGGTTGTTCCTTAACCTCCCCTCCACCAGACTAAATAAGTCCTTCAACTTCTCGCAGGAGAGCTGTAGACTGCTAACCACCTTGGTTGCCTGCCAGTTGATCCTTTCCAATTTTTCTCACATCCCTCCTGAACTGAGGGGCCCAAAACTGGGCACAGTGTTCCAGGTTCAACCTCACTATAGCTGAGTAGATGGGAGTAATAACCTTTCTTCAGTGGCCATGTTCCTCCCAATACAGCTCAGTTTGCAGTTTCCCTTATGTATAGAAAGCACACACTATAGGCCTGTATTCCACCTGGAGTCCACTGCAAACCCACTGCAACTTCCTTTCCAGCAGGGCCATTGCTCAGCCAGTCAGTTCCATTATATGGCGTTACTCCTCCATAGGTGTAAAACTTTGCACTTCTCCTTGTTTAATTTCATAAGACACCTGTTTTCTCAAATCAATGGAGGTCCCTCTGGATTGAAACTCTGCCATTCATTGTGTCAGCTATTCTCTATTTTTGTGTCACCTGGCAATTTGCTCATGGTGCTCTCTGTGTCATCATCCAGGCCATTGACAGAGATATTCAACAATATCAGCCCCAGTATCAGTCCCTGGTGTAGTTCACTGATTGCCAGCCACCAACCAAGCATCAAGGATATTGATCACTAAACTTTGGAGTCCAGTGGTTCAGCCAGTTTTCAACTCAAGTAGTAGTCCATTTACCCACCCTCTGCTTCCTTATCTTCCAAACGAGAATGCTGTCCGAGTCAAGTGTCAAATGCCTTGCTAAATTCAAAATAGATTGCATCCACTGCTCTCCCTCCTTAACAACTCCTTAACCTGTTGCTCCCATACAGTTGGCTGTTCCTTTCCTTCCCAAGTTTTGCTGTTAAATGCAAGGAGCAGGTTTTGCTTGTGAAGACTAATACCCAGAGTATTGAATACTTCAGCATTTTCTTTAACATCTTCCACTAGATTGTCTTACCACTCTATCAGTGGACTTATGTTTTCCCTTTGAAACAAGGATACCTGTAAATATCCTTTTTGTCACCCTCAACACCCCTGGCTAATCTTAGTTCGAGCTGGGCTTTGTCTGTGTGATTTTGTTCCTCTGTACCCAAGCAACGCTTTTATGCTACTGTTTGCTGCCTACCCATATTGTCACCTCTTGTGTGCTCCCATTTTGCTTTTTTGTTCATTGAGAAAAATCCTGCTTGGCCAACTGGGTCTTCTGCTGAAATTTCATGTCTTCCTGCAGAAGAGAGTTCATTGAGATCTCAGCAGTTTCGGCTTTCAAAATTGTTCATCTCCCTTGGGCACCCTTCTCTTTCATGGGTGCAATGCCCTGAATAAAAACAAGTCTCTTCTCCTAAAATAGTGTCCTAACTCTGTTGCTTACTTTTCCAACATTTCTCTGGATCCTAAACTTAGTCATCTCACAGCTGCTGCAGTCCAAGCAATCCTCCGTGTCCATGTTCACCACCAGTTCTTCCCTCCACCAGCATTAATGATTATTTCTGCCCACTTGAAAAGCTAAAGTGTTTTTACTTCATGATGCATATGAGGAGAAAATCAACCACAATTCAAAGTGTTTTATCTTAAAATGTATGTAGAACATTTATGTATTTACATGGCTTTGATGGTCATCACATCCTTTCTTGTACTGTTATTCATCTGCATAACATGCTGTTGAACCCCCAAGAAATTGTGGGACAGCAGAGAAGGGAGATCAGAGAAAAGATAATATCCAAGAAGATTGATTAAATGACTGCAGTTCGTTTGTAAATCTCAGTGATTTGTCAACTGTGCTACACTTCATTTTTATTAAGAAACATACCTGTGAACTTTATGTTGAGTGCATTGATTGTGTTTTTTTCCTGTCAGTATGAAATCTGAGGTGTGTACACACAAGGGCAAGAAACAAAAACAATTTGCACTGGATAGATCACCTAAGAATTCAGTGTTGTTGCTTAAGTGTCAGTTTCTGATGCAAAGCAATACATAGCTTTAAGAAGTTTATTCTGGACAGTTCGTAGTGGACAATATTACCTATAACTGCTTTGGACCATTTTTTATAGATGTTTGGAAACTGGACCTTTGGAACACTGGTGTTTACTGTGCTTGTATTCACGGTTACATTGAAGGTAAGGTATGCTGTATTTTATCCATTGAAACTTTCTTAGAGCTTGTTTTCTAATTGCTGCTTACTTATATCCATTTTTCTCTATGACCATATATTGTTGTATTAGTTTGAATAAAGATTTAAATTAGTTTAAATATCTATGTGTTCTTAACTGTGCTCAAAATTGAAAAATGTTTTTTAGCTAATTCTGTGTAGAATCCTTCCCTTGTTTCAAAGGGTGTAATTTTATTTCATCTGCTGCTGAGTATTCTGTTGCTGCTAGATAGTAATAACATCATATAATCTCCTGGGTTTTTTTCAGCTTGCACTAGATACACACTATTGGACGTGGATAAATCACTTCATGATCTGGGGATCACTGGTATTCTACATTATCTTTTCTCTGCTCTGGGGAGGAATTATTTGGTATGAACCCTAATATAAATTGCATTGCAAATGTTATTTCAGAAACAGTTGTTAGAAAGTTGTTATGTATTTCACTTTTTTTGTCCCAAATAGAATTAAATTTAACTTTTGTGTATTGCTGAACTCCAATAGCAGTCACGTTTTAAACACATCAGTAATGGTAATTACAGAATGCTCAGCTCTTCTTTCGCTGAATGGCTGCTAAAATATTCTTAGAGAAGACTATGAAGAGAAGAATATCAGACCTCAGAGTGCCACTGGGGCTATCTCAGTAGTATCAGTCAAAAGCAGTCCAAGGGTTGGTTCAAGTAGCTGAGGCTGTCTGTCTGAAGCAAAACGTCACAGAGTAGGGTCACGTCTATGCAGCTTGGGGCTAATCACCCATCCACTCGGCTTGTCTTGGAGGGAACTAGCTGTAGCAGTCTAAACTGGGGTGAGGGAGTGGAAATAACATTGAAGTAGTGTGGATGACCAGGAGTCCTGTGTTTGAGCTCATTATTTGTCCCCTTATTTAGCAAAGTAGATTTACTGTAGATGTCTGAGCACCTACTTGTTCTACTGTTGGCAAGAAGCTTTTGAAGAATTAGTATAACTCTTGTGCATAGCTGAATGAAAATAGTGGGGTTTTTTTTTTTCTTTCCCTGTTAAAAAATTCTGTTTACTTGAAACTGAATTTTTTGGGAAGGAGACCAAGTTGAAACAGGTTCAAGTTTTCACTATGCCTGATTGCCATCAGGAACTTAATTTGCATTTCTCACCTGTAGAGTGCCCAGTTACAAGGTTGCCTTTTCTAACCTCTTCTGCTGGAACTGTTCTACTTTGTATACATAAGTAAACATTTTGAGAGAAAGCAGAGCCAAACTGTTGCATGATGATTAAGGTGCCATTTAATTTGGAGTAAGGATTTGTATTTCAATGTGTCCTTTGCAAACGAGTAACCACCTGTCAACTCCTTGGATATTCAGTAGCCTCTTCCTTTTTTCAGTAAGATCAGATCTCAGTTTCTTCAGCATCAGAATGAAAACAGTTTGCAGAAGTGACATTTGCCCTGCTAATGTTTTCCAGCCAGCCTTGCTGTGTATTAGAGATGTGACTATTCACATGCAGCAATGTATTAACTTGATTATCTTTTTAGATTGCAAAGACTTCTATCAAATTTTGGAAACTAGCAGGAAACTGCCCTATTGGTAGGAGGGCTTTACACTGCAGTGTTGCTACAAACTGTCCATTGATCTTTGCTCTCAGGAAATGTGGCCTCTGGTTCCCATTACCGTACAGTGATGGCATTTTAATGACCAGACAACTGCTATGGAGATACAGGAAAACATGGAAGTGAAGGCAGTGAAAGTGGGGGTAGATAAAAATGTGGTGACTAGGTTAGGGAGCATAACATGAAACCATCAGAGCAGCTTAGGGGAGCTTGAGAGGTATGAAGAAAGGTGTGCTCAATGAGCCTTACTTTGAGGATACATACAAATGAATGTGCGATGGGAAAGAGGAGGAAAATAATAGGTGGGACACTGAGCAGAAAGGTGGAAAATATCTGGAGCAAGATAAGGAGTAGGTGGAAGAGCG